TCTCTCTCTCTCTCTCTCTCTCTCTCTCTCTCTATATATATATATATATATATATATATATATATATATATATATATATATAGAGAGAGAGAGAGAGAGAGAGAGAGAGAGAGAGACAAAAGTCTATACTGTGGGATGCACTGTGACATGCTACAGATTCCACAACAAAATTTTCTTTTCTTTGTTAAAAGGAGGTTGCAAGGGTAGAGAGTGGGCATGAGAAGAGGGAGAGCTAAGCAGGATTGGGGTGCATGATGTGAAATTCACAAGGAGTCAATATAAATTTTAAAAAAGAACTCCATCTAATGACAGGATCTAATTGATCTTTTTTTTTTTATTGTTCTGATAGAGCAGTCCAGTTAACAACAGACTGAGCACGGTTTTTAAGCATCCGTAAAATATATTCCAAAAAAAAGAAATGGAGTCATAAGTTATATGTCAAAACATTTAGAGGATTGAAACCATAGTATGCCATCCAACCACAAGGGAATCAAGCTAGAAATCAATAACAGAAAAATATACAAAATCTTGGAAACATGCATCAATAATAGACGTGTCAGACAAGTCTCAAGGGAAGATATGACACTTACTGGGCTGAAGAAAAAAAAATGAAAAAGCAACATAAAAGTTTCGGTACAGAGAGAAAGCAGTACTGCAAAAGAAATGTATAGTCTTACAAGCAGAAATGAGAAAAGAAGACATATATTAAATAAATAATCTAAATTCTTAAGACTCCAGAACATGAAGAGTAAAGCAAACCAAAACAAGCAGAGGGAAAGAAGCAAGTTTGTTTTTGGTTTGTTTGTTTTTCGAGACAGGATTTCTCCGGGTAGCCTTGGTTTTCCCGGACTCACTCTGTAGACCAGGCTGGCCTCAAACTCACAGAGATACATCTGCCTCTGCCTCCCTGTGTGCTGGGATTACAGGCATGCACCTCTGCAACAGATAGGAAAAACAGGTTTTTAAAATTACGTAAATGAGAGCAACAGAAATGGTTCCACTTTTATGAGTCAATTCTGCTCATAGAGATGATGGAGCTGGGTTTCCAGCACCCATACTGGGTGAGTCTTAATTGCCAAAACTTCACTTCCAGGGGATCCAACCCTGTTTTATGGCCTCCCCAGATTCTTACACACACACACACCCCTAAATAAAAATTTAAAAAAAAATTAACAATAACAATTATAAACTTGAAGCAACAGAAAAAAAAATCAACTTTAAGGCTTGCAAACCACAAAGACAGACATTACCAATTAGCAAGAATAAACAGGTGACCTTACAGGTCTTTCAGAAATATATATATATATATATATTTATATAAATATATATTTATATATATAATATATTTAATATAATATAAATATATATATATATTTAATCTAGAAAGTTAAAATCATGAACAGATTGTAAGATCTCTTCACACAAAGGAAAACTCATCCTTTGCCATTATTTCTTAGACTATTCCTTTATCTGTTCTTCTTTCAGTATGTTATATATACATAACAAACACATTCATGGACAAGGATATTTTTTATATAGAAAAGGCCAGTGAGATTCTTAACTCAGTGTCTCTGACAGAACTTTCGTAAGTCAAAACTTCATATGAATAAAATGTAGCCCATCTCCAAGTACCAGGTTGTTTTACAAATTCATCTTTGAGATGTAGCTAGAATTGACTTGGATTAATATACATGTATTAATATACATAATATACATACATTATATGTGTATTTATATTAATTTGTGTATATATATATCAATCTCAGATCCTTTAAAAATAGTTATGTATTTACCTAGGACCACTTGTGAATAATTAGGTGTATTGCTATGATATGTTAAGTAACTTTCATCTTGAAATAAATCTTATATAGGCCAACATAGAATTCAGGTCTCTTGCTCTATTGTTCTGTGTACATATCTGTGGATCAGCATGCTCTGGTTCAGTTGGAGAGATAAAAATAGCTCAAACCTTGTAATCTCATTATGACTCAGAGTTTAACAGTAAGAATATATGGAACAAGAAGGTTCCTTAATTGGGAATATAAAAATTTAGTTTCAATGACCTATTGCTACCGTAAACTGTTCGCTTCATTCTCCTCTGGAACACCAGGTAAGGCTGTCTGCACTGTGGGCCTAGCTCTGAGTGCACAACAAAATCATCTGGGAGATGAAATGTCGTCAGGATTGCATCGAGTAGCTCAAGAAAGCAGATTGTGCAAAAGCAATTTGTAGGCTTAGATTTTTCACCAAATTTACGTTATTTAGGGTTCTTAAGCATCTTTGCCTCCCTTTCAACCACCCTTAGGTAGGAGATTAGTAGGGAAAAGGGCTGTTAGTCCTCTTTTATCTACTTTCTGCTGATCAGGGTCATGGGTCGTTAGGAGATAACAGCAGTCCAGTCCAAGGGCCAACACGAAACAGCAACACAAAGTCAGTGAAAGCTGAAAGACTCAGTTGGATTGCCCAGAGAAGCTCTCTAGAATGTTTCTGTCTGTGAAGTCAAGCATCAAAGCACGAGATCAGCTCAGCGAAATTTATCCTAAAAACATTTATCCTAACAATTTATCCTCTGCCTGGGCTTGTATATATGCCCTCTCCTCAATGTCCACCCACGGATTTTCTCAGCTGGCCAAAGTCATGCCCCTTGTATGAGAGAGCAAAATATCATGTGCTCTCTGACAAGCCAGCCTGGGCAAAACATCACTAGCCCAGCTTGCAGCAAAACATCACAGGACAAAACTGAGTCCAGAAGTTTCCACTTCAGCAATTCTCCACTCTTTTCTTTCTTGTGTTTTAGGTAAGTTAATGCTAGCTTAACAAATTCAGCTCCCTATGTTTTCCAAATTCTAGAACTTTCAGTAAATCTTTAGAACTGAAAACATGGGAACAAATGTTGTTATAATTAGTCCTAAGAATTTAGTAAGTATATTTTCCCCCTGAGCATTGGATTTGTTGGATGCCTGATACTTGTTTAGGCATTCTTCAGTTTGTTTGTTCATCATCAAATAACTGCTGAACCCTTGTGATAGAACAGGCATGATCCTGTCACGAAGAGCAAAATAGGAACCAGACTAGAAATATCTTTTGTTTTCCTAAGATGTATACTCTAGTGCCGGGATTCAGAATGATCCAACTAAAATAAACACCTGTGAAAACGCACTTCAAGCAATGAAGGGCAGGTAAACCTGAAAGGTTTGTAATCCAAAGAGAAATCGTAGGAAATTGAAACAGAAACTAAAACATGTTAGGAGTACAGAGGAGGAGCACCTCTGTCCTGCTTCAAAAACAAACCATCAAGCCAAAACAAACAAACAAACAAACAAACACATGTTTACTAGTCCTTTAGCAGAAGGAAGCAACTGAAAAGAAGCTATTTGTGTCTTCTTGATGATTCTCTGCCCATTCCCTAAGATGGGCAATACTTTAGAAGATGCTAAGGACAAAGCGGTGTTG